CAAGTCAAATTTGTTTAATTTTTATTTTTTATTTTTTATGAGAGAATCAAAGCTACTCGTTTATTCTTTTCTGTAACGCTAGAAATTATCAATGATGTACATGGAAGTATGAAGTGTTTGATTTGAGCTTGAGTCTCATTTGTTTGTTGATATTGGAAGGATGTGAATATGATATATGTGATTCACTGTTATAAGTTTGGCCAGGTTCTGAACCATGTTGATTAAATTGGAAAGTAAAACGTATCTTTGGCAATAGTGTCGTGAGACTGTAAAATGAAGTAATTGATTATTTTGGTTGACCATCTGTTGAATGCTATTGCTTTATTCATTGCTTATATTTGGTTTAGTATATTTCTACTGGGCTGTGGCTCACTCTTTATGGGAACATCATTTTCAGGTTCAGGGGATAAGCTACCTCCAAGGACTTAGCTTGGAAGGACTTGGATTCTGAAGACTATTTTTCTGTTGTTTGCTTTTATTTGTTAGTACATGTAAACACTCAAGCCTAGGGCTTTTCTTGTATTGAGTTAGAACTCGTATTTTTGTAACCAAGTGTTGGCTTGGAAAGATGTAAGCCTGTAGGGCATTTTATTTGATTATTTAGTAATACTCTGATGAATGAATTAATAAAATGTCTTCTTTAAATAATCCATGTCAATGATATATAATAGATTAATTTTGAGGGCGTTACATCCTAGCTGCCAATCGCCTCTTTTTTCTCTTTTCAACTCTGGCTACCCTCCAAGAAAGCAAAAGGTCCCAAACATTTGAAAGGAAGACCCAAGCCACGTCAAACAAGACTAAAATAAGTCCCAAAAGATTTGATCCCTCTCCCTCCTCACATATCACTAACAACAACCCCTCTACCAATTGCTATTTGTCACGAGCTAGACAGGCCAGCTCCAAATTCTCTCCACAGCAAAGATGTCACCAAATGGGGTTATTTGGCATCCCCTACTGTTAGGTCCCTTAGTCTTGTCAATCCCGCGAACAAACTCGAAGTTATTGAGTTGTAAATTGCTGTAAATTTCCTTGCTGTTTTGTCTTGCTTGCTTGAGCGAAGCAGTCCTCGCTCGAGCGAAGGTTGCATCTGGCAAAAACTTGAGAAGGATGAATGTACGCTCGAGCCAAGGTTGTGTGGCTCGAGAGAAGCCACTTATGGAAAAACATGCGAGATTAGTTCCTCGCTCGAGCGAGAGAGTCTTCGCTCGAGCGAGCTGTGCTGTCCCAGATTTCTATAAGTATTTGTTTTAGTCCAAGACTAAGATTAGGTTTTGGAGATCTACTTTAAGGATTTCTGAGTTATTTGTTTTAAGTTTTTTTGTGTGTTTTCCTTGATGATTTGAGTGAGTATTAAACTCATGCATTGATAAGCACATATCAAGGAGGTTGTTTGAATATATTCAAGAGTGTTCTTCTTCGATGGAATCCGAAGATTCAAACGTGGAGCATCAAAGGAGTTTGATACTGTGCGTGGTCGTTGATTCGACAATTGAAGTTGTGGATTCAACTTCATACTAATCAGTTCCGAGACGAAGGCTGTGGTGAAAGATTTACAGAAGGTTTGAAGACAAATTGGATGCGTTTGGTAATTTTTTTGTTATCTTTGTAATCTTTCTTTCTTCAGTAGTGGATTGATTAGTGGCGTTTCACCCGTGATTTTTTTATCACAATTGAAGGTGCTTCAATTGTGGTTTTTCCACGTAAAAATCGTTTGTGTCGATTTATTGTTTTTCAAAAACAACAATCTAAACCACTTTCATAAGTGCATGATGATTTAGATTGTGTGTTTTGAATAATTGGGAATTGGAGTAATTAGTTCTTGACCTAATCACGAATCACTTAGGTTTTTCACTTGGTATCAGAGCAGGCCACTCTTTGTTTTTATCAAAACTATAGGAGTGTAATTTTGTGTGATTAGTGATACGGATTCAATTCGTGAAGGTAACTCGACCCATAGACCTCCGTTACTTGATGGTATAAACTATTCTTATTGGAAAGCTCTTATGAGAGCGTTTTTAAAATCCATCGATGAGAAAGTTTGGCACTGTGTGATCTATGGGTGGAGTGAACCTATTGTCACCATTGATGGTATTGATATTTACAAAACCCCTTGATCTTCTTCGATTTGAGTTCCTTAGAAAAACCTTGGGAGTCGTGCTCAGTCACTAGGGTGTTACTTGTTACTTGAGGGGGAGTGAGTGATTGCTTTTGTGTGTACTTGAGTGCTATAATCTCATTGTCATTGATTCCTGTCGTCTTTGTATCCTAAAATATATGAACACTGCTCATATTGCTTACAAGATCTCATTTGTCTTTACTCATAGCTCATTCTGAATGTCTATGCTCATTTTCTTCATGATCTCATTCTGTACACATCCTTGAGATAAACTGTTGCAGGGGCTTCCGCACAAGTGATCAAAGTTCTCTATGGACCACTAATAGTGTTTCTTGGTACTTTTTCAGAGGAATTGACCTATATTAGTATATCATGGGTGATGTTGAGTCTCTTAACCATTTACCATCATTTTTCACTTCCACGGTTTCTCCCTCAATTCATTGAAGTCCGGGCAATAGGAAAAGACTACCTCAGAGGCACCAACCAGGCCATCCTTTATGATTTCATTCTTCTCTAGTTTGGTCTCCATACTCTTGAGCGTGCATGCCACCAGTGAGTGCCCACAAGAAAGAAAAGTTTTTTTAAAAAAAAAGGGACTCATTGTTTGAGAGGGAGCTTCCGCGTTTACTCAACAAATACCCCATGATTCCTAGTGGTTTGAATTTTCTCAGTGATGTTCGGTTACTCTTGCCGGAGGTCCAGCCATCCGATCACTACAAGGATTATGTCACGAACCAAAACCGCCCCTAAAGTTTTGGACATGATCACTTCAGAAATAGACAAAAACCAATATACGTAACGCATGGGGCCTGAACGGAAGCACCTGATAACCAAAAATTCTATTCCATTGAGCTATCACTACTATGCCAGGATCACAACATCATATCAGATAAATAATATACAGGAAACATACACACACATACATCGACTCAGCCCATAATTGGGCGTATGACAAAACATGTTAACGAAAGATAATCAAAACATAAACCTCAAAAGCCTAACAACACTTTACAAAATGCACGGGCTTCAGTTAGTGCCTGGACACACCGAGGTTGACAAGAGGGAGACAAATCTTAAGGGTTAGGACTGGCCTCTCGATTGATTACTTACAGAAATAGAAAAAATACAAAATGAGTGAAACTCAGTGAATAATAGTACATAAATGATGTAAGGTTTAACTTGAATAATAAAGCATAAAACTGCAGAGGCATATGATTGATTTCATTCTGTAATTATTCCAAAACAGCCATAGATCCAGTTTTCTTAACAAATGGTTTTAAGCCCAGTATGTACAGAACAGCCAAAGGTCTTCAGATACAAAGCGGCCATAGGCCCAGAAATAACAGAACAGCCTTTCAGTCCAGAAATATATACAGAACAGCCTTTCGGCCCAGAAATATACAGAACAGCCTTTCGGCCCAGAAATATATAGAACA